AAGGCTGTTTTTGTGGGGGATAGATCCCTGTAATGAGAGCAAGCAAAAGTAAAAGAAATCATAAAAATAAAATGACAAAATTGTGAAAAGCAAAAACATAATAAAACAAAATATTTACATACTGGTTGTCTTCTTGTTGGTCAGGACAAAAACTGTAGAGTGGGTGGGTGGGTCACACTTATTGGAATCAGGATTGACATTGTTTTGTAACAGGGCATAGGTTTCTGCCAGGTGTTCAGGAGTGAGGGCAGTCGAGATCAGACATGTGGACAATGAGCGAATACAAGGTATACAACAGCAACCACAAGTTATTAGAATGGGTAAACAAACTCCTATGGAGATGTTTGATAGCTTTGAAGAGCTGGTACATGACGTAACGCTTGTGAATATCTTTCAGAAGAGAGCCTTTCTTTATCACAGCGTGCAAGGCCGTATCCATTTATTCAAAAATGAGGTAAATGTCTTTATCATTTTGTGCTTGGATGGTGTTGAGAAGCTTGACAATGTTGATGTGATCTCCAAACTCCTGGAGGAACATGATTTCTCTGTATGTTCGCTGGGCATCTGTTCTGTTTCTGAAAGCATCAAAGATTTTCTTCACTGCCACGATCTCCCCAGTCTGTCTGTCAGCGGCTTTCCATACAATGCCGTAGGCCCAGTGCTAGGGTGGTTTTCCATGGATGTTACAGTAGGCCCACCTTGGTTCTTCTGAGAGAGTAACTGTAAAAAGTCTATGATTTGGACTGGATCTAGTGAACGCTGTCTCAGTTGTCCACTGAGTGACTTTAGGCAATTGGTTTCACCGGTCCTCCCTTTGGTCCTCTCTGATGGTGGATTGGTTCCTCTGAACAGCATGCAGTGGGATGTGTGGATCCAAGTAACTCACTCAGCCGCCTTAACAGCTGTGTGGGTCATCAACAGCACCTGGAATGGACCTGTCCACCTGGGGGAGTTCCACCTTTTCCTCCTGAAAGATTTAATCATAACAAAGTCTCCAGGGGTTATGTCATGTAGTTGTTCTTGAGCTGAGCTGGGAAGCCCTCCTTGGACCTGAGACCTGAGGGATTTTAAATGGTTAGTCAATTCAATGCAGTAGGCAAGCATGTTATGATCACAATGTTTCAGGTCATTAGTTGGGCTGGTCACCGATCCCACTCCGAGGTTGGGTGGAGCTGCAAATAAAATTTCCAAAGGGCTAAGGTTATGTTTAGCCCTTCTGTGCATGCGCATGTACATCAGTGCAATGGGTAAACATGTAACACAGTTGAGTTTTGTCTCGTCACAGATTTTTGTCAGTTTGTTTTTCAATGTTCCATTCTCTTTTTCTTCTGCATCTCCATTTTGTGGATAGTATGCGCAATGTTTAGTCAGGTCAAAGTTCAGTGTGGTGGACACTTCTTCAAGTATCTGATTAGCAAAATGTGGACCGTTGTCACTAGAAATTCTTTGTGGGATACCCCACCTTGACGCCACTTCTTGCGACAGAATTTCAATAATTTCAATTTCAGTTCAATAAAGTCAATCATCAAATGTTGAAATGGTGCTGTAACAGTTTTGTGGGCTCCTGGAGCTGTTGTTTTTATTGTTTTTGAAACACTGTGAGTGGCACACACGTGACAGGAGTCACAATGTTGGGCCGCTGTTTTTGAAAAATTTACAGTAAACCAATCAGCATTAATTTGTCTCAACATCCCTCCCTTTGACACATGATCCAAAGAATGTGTCAAAACAGCAAAAGAGGGGAAAAAATGTTTTGGTAAGCATGGGTTACCATTTGGGCAGCACGGTGGCGCAACTAGTAGAGCTGCTGCCTCTCAGTGAGCAGGTCCTTGGTTCAAACCCCGGTCCAGGGGCCTTTCTGGGTGGAGTTTGCATGTTCTCTCCGTGCATGCGTGGGTTTTCTCCGGGTACTCCGGTTTCCTCCCACAGACCAAAAACATGCATGTTAGGCTGATTGGTAACTCTAAATTGTCCCTAGTTGTGAGTGAGAAAGTGAATGGTTGTTTGTCTCGTTTGTCTCTATGTGACCCTGTGATGGACTTGTGACCCATATATATATATATATATATATATATATATATATATATATATATATATATATATATA